TGCCATGGGCTACCGTGTGTAGCCAACAGCCAGCGTGAGCGGCCAGCAGCCGCAGTGAGCGGCCGTCCAGAAGCCGGCGACTGATGTGCCTCGCCCAGGAAGGGTGCAATGATGGTGCCAACTTGGGCAAGTGAAGCAACATCCTCCACAACTAGACTGAAGAACAAAAACAACAGCAACTTGTCTGTTCCCCTTCCCCCGATTCCCCAATAAAATCTTAAAATAATAATAATGATAATAATAATAATAATAATAATAATAATAATAATAAATAAAAGTCAAATCTGGAATCCAAGAGAGATTGTCCATTTTGAAGGAGTTGATCTCAAAAAACTAGAAAACTTTTCCCCCAGAGTAACATTCACCGCCTAGACACTATACACAGACTATAGTGTAAGAAAAGATGACTTAGAAATGATGCCTGCATAATCGAATTATCTTGGCTACCTGGATATTTCTGACCTCTCTCTTCCAAGTTCTGCTCCCTGAGTCACAGAGTATACCTGACCCACCTGGGGCTGCTTGACAGTGGCTTTGGGCTTCCAGACACTTCAAGAGCTCTGGAGTTTGCAGTCCTGGAAGATAGATGTTCAATGTGTCAGTCTTTTCCTCCTGTTTTTATAGAAGCGATGCAAATGTATTTTTGGCCTTGAATTATCTGTGGCATGGTTACTAAGTTAATAAACATTTACAAGAGCTTGGACTTCGTGGGTAAATATTTTCAAATAATAGTTTATGAGAACCAAAGTAGAACAAAGCATCACACCTTTTGAGTGAAATAGCATGAATGTTGAGGTCTTTTAAGATAGATGCCAAAAAAATTAAAAAATGGTAGTGTTATTATTCATAATTATGGCTGCCACATAGTGTGAGATCCTGGGATTTAGGAAAGTCATCGTTCCCCTGTCCCCAACCTTTTCTTTTGAAAAATGTCAAACCTGGGAATAGCGCAATGAATTTTCACATAGATTTAACATGGAAATAGTTTTAAGGGCTTGTTTTCTTTTGCCAGACACACACACACACACAAAAATAAATAAAATGCTATTATAAAATTCTGGTTTTTTATTTTAATTGCCTTAGATTTTATCTGGAAATAAACCATGCCAAACACCTTATTTGTCTTTAAAATAATAATGTGATGTCTTTTATCCACAGTCTAATCTACCTGATGACATCATTGAGAATGGAAGGGCAGCTGAGGAGAAAACGCCACTGTCTTTCAGCTTCAGCGACCTGCCCAACGGGGACTATGCCCTCCCCCCCAGCCCAGCCGGCTCTCTCTCCAACACATGCTCAGCAAATCCAGAAATCACCATCACCCCTGCTGAGCTACACCACAGCAGCCCATCCTCCCAGAATGAGGACACAGACGATTCCAGTTCAGCATGTTCCAGAACCTCCTCGGGAGGTGGCCAAGGGCTGAAGGCTCACCTGGAAGAAGACGCAGAGGGGTCCAGGAGAGCAGAGGCCCGCCGCGTGTCCACAGGTGCCTCGGCTGAGCACCTGTTCCTTGAGAAGGACGTCACAGAGGCACTTCTGCAAGAGTCCGATGAGGCCTCTGAGCTCAAGCCCGTGGAACTGGACACTTTTGAAGGCAACATCACAAAGCAGCTAGTCAAGAGGCTCACCTCAGCCGAGGTGCCGGCAGCCACCGAGAGGCTGCTCTTTGAGGGGTCTGTCAGTGGAGAATCTGAAGGTTGTCGATCCTTTCTAGATGGAAGCTTAGAGGATGCCTTTCATGGGCTTTTCCTTGCATTGGAACCACATAAAGAGCAGTATAAAGAGTTTCAGGATCTAAACCAAGAAGTCATGCATTTGGATGATATTCTAAAAGTAAGTACCTTTTCAGGGACATGGGATTAGGTTTGGAGAGTGTCTTAAGACAACCTTCTATTTAAAATAGCATCTCTATTTTTTTTATCCTATCCCATCACAAGAACAATAGATGAGCACCATTTAAAGGGCATTAATTTTTAACACCAGTAGTGCGTATCAATTTTTATTTTCCTGATGATAGATATTAACTAACATGATTAGGAGTTACATGAACAGCTCTAAAGAATGTCTCAACTCCTTGAGTCCCACATTTGTTCTAATCCCAAATGTAAAAATTGTGGTACTTTGATCACCATAATCTCATTGAGTGGTTGTTGGTTAGCATCCTTCTTGGGGTATCAGGAAAGCAGGAAACCCAGTCCCTGGTTGAAGTCAAAGTTAGCAGCCTGATGTAAGAGTCATGGGCATCTCCTAACTCCACAATTTAAAAAGCACTACACAAGAAGACAGAACTTGGATTTTTGTACCAAATCCTATCACTGCTTCTTGTATTCTTTGCTTTTCCACTCTGATTTATATTGCCATAGAGAAGAGAGCTGGGATCCTTTTTCTTAAAAGAGCCGTTCTTTGGGGACCTGTTCTAGAAAATAGACTTGAAAATAAGGTGCCAGTGGCAAGGTGAGAGTCAAGCACAGAAGGCTGTTGCATCCCTTTGTATGAGTGTTTTAAAATGTAGCCTTCCCAATGCCACCTATAGGTATGTTTCCAAGACTTTGACCATCATATCCCTCTTGGTTACAACTGACCTTGCTCTGGAAGGAAGTTGTGCCCAGGACAGATGATAATTCATGCTGTGACTCCCCAGATCCTCGAATGCTCATGACAGATAGATTCAGCTGCAGGCGTCACCTCTGAGAAGCAGGAAAGGGCACTCTAAATTGATTTCTGTAAAACATAACTGGAAAACATCCACTCAGAGATCATGCATGAGGGCTGTTTGACTAATATTTCAGTGAGAGCATCTTTTATCCCCTCAACAAGCTCTCTCCGCACTGTTGACTAGTCAGCAAAAGGTGTTCAATTTAAAGAGCAAAGACACCATTGACCCCACCTAAAGCAAACGCCTTAAAGAAAGCCAGTGGTGATGGAAGCTCCCCTTTCTAGGCATCTAGGGTTCTAATAAGTAGCTCAATTCGCCAGGAAGCACTAAGCAACTTATGTATTAGTCATAAAAACCTGGTGGTCACAGATTTCTCTCCAGAGTATTATTTCAATCTGCCGTTGTTCCAAAACTGAAATCCTTAACAGCTCCTTTCTTGTTGTGATCAAAATTTAAACACATCTATACTGTGCATGATCCAGTTCTGCAGATAGCTTAGGAAAGAAGACTCTAGAAGTGGGTTGAGTCTGGCCTGGCGCCTTCCCTCCCTCTGAGATTGCAAAGGGCATCAGAGTGTAGATCTGGGACAAGTGGCTTTGTCTTCAGCCAGAATTAAAGCATCAGCTGGACAAAGCTTTCTCTTTTTTTTCCCCCCTTCACATTCCTAGGATGCTAAACATCTTGAGGATCAGAAACTAGATGCTGCATCTTGGACGGAGATCTCTGAGGGTGAATGAACAACTCTGATTTAAAAGACCGTGTGTTTTTGTGCCATCTTGAATGTCAGAGACAGACCCCTGAAAGGCCCTTCCTACCTTGTGTTAAGAAGTCAGCAAGGAGTGCCACCTAACTGGATGGAGGACATTTAGCTCTTCTAACTTGCAGGACTTGTCCCTTTCAATCCATCCCAGCATCCTCTTTAATATTTGGGAGTATTTCTCTCTTCCTTTTTGCCCGTAGTAACGGGCATTATTGTTTGTAATGTTTCTGTGTATGTCCAGTGATACAGAATTCTCCAGGCCATAGAATGGGTTTGCTCATGTAATTCCAGGGCCCAGTCAGAGAAGTGATAGAACTTGTTCCTTCAAAGGCAGAGGAAGCAGGGCCCACTTCTTTTTTTGCCCGTGCCATTCATTTTCTCCTCAAGTCTCAAAGAAAAGTTATGTGCTGTGAATGTAAAATTAATATTTAAGGCTACTCACCTGGGTTAGGTGAATTTGAGCAGTCTTCTGTTTCTGGGATTTCTTTTCTTAATTCTTAATTCTTTAGAACAGGTGCCTTAGATAGCTAGCTCCCATCTCAGCACACTGAAGACATTGCCACTTGAATTAGAGATGAGTTAGTATCCATCACTGACTCCATGACTCTCTCAGTTTGTCTGCTGATTGTATTTTACTTGGCGTTGAGCACTAGGCAGAGGGAGTGTGGCAATTCTGTTTCCTAAGGCTTTTTGGTTGTAATATATGTTTTAAACTTTTTATTATATAAATTTCAAACACAAGTAGAGCAAATATATAATAGACCCTCATGTGCTCCCCACCCCCACCCAGCTTCCACCATGTTCAACTCAGGCCAATCTTTTTTTATTATTATTTTTTAATTTTATTGGGGAACAGTGTGTTTTTCCAGGACCCGTCAGCTCCAAGTCAAGTAGTTGTCTCAATCTAGTTGTGAAGGGCGTAACTCAGTGGCCCATGTGGGGATCGAACCGGCAACCTTGGTGTTATGAGCACTGCGCTCTAACCACCTGAGCTAACGGGCCGCCCCAGCTCAGAAAAATCTTGTCTCGTCTATTCTACTGCCTGCTTATTTCCTTCTGGATTATTTTGGGAAAAGTCTCGGATGTTGTGTTATTTTGTCCATGGTTGTACTTCTTTTTTTAATATGAAGATTTTAAAAGTGTTTTTTTTAATGCCAACAAAATAAATAAAAACTTGAAACAAAGAAAATGTTACATCTCAGATTGGGTGTCGCGTGTCCTCTTTCTCCTTCTGGATGTGTTGACGGTCTCCCTGGTGCCTTCTGCCTTTGCAGTGCAAGCCCACAGGAAGCCGCAGCAGGTCTTCCAGCTTAAGTCTTACAGTTGAGAGTGCTTTAGAAAGCTTTGATTTCCTGAACACCTCTGATTTTGACGAAGAGGAAGATGGTGATGAGGTTTGTACTGTTGGAGGAGGTGCTGACTCAGTATTTTCAGACACTGAGACTGAGAAAAATAGGTAAGCCTTGGTTTGCATCTATTCCTAACCGCTTCCTATTGTTGTGCTTTGCTGTCCCCACCCCTTTATCCCTTGTTCCCTTCAGCCCGGTGGATCTTTGCAGTAGATTAAGTTCATCAGTGCACTTATCACGGCTGGGTTTAAGCCCCTGACACTTGTCTCCCTTAGAACATAAGCAAGGATGTTTAGGGCCGGCCGAGTGGCGCGTTGGTTAAGTGTTGGCTTGGGACGCCAGCTCTGCACCGCAGCAGCAAGGCCCTGGTTCGGATCCCACATGAGGGCCAGTGACACTGCGCCCTCTACATCCAAGATGGTGAACAACAGCTCGACCTGGAGCTGGGCTGCCGTGAGTCACCGGCGACGGCGTAGGCTGCAGTAGGGCTGGCCCGCAGCTGGCGTGCGCTTTAGTGTGCTGCCGTGAGCTGCCGTTAGCTGCTGTCCAATGGCTGGCGAGTGACTGCCACGCCCGCGAAGAGCACAATGATAATACCAACATGGGCCAGTGAAGTGGTGTCCTCCACAACTAGACTGAAGAACAAAAGGACAGCAACTTGTCTGTTCCCCTTTCCCGATTCCCCAGCGCTGTTCCCCTCCCTCAATTCCCCAATAAAATCTTACCCCAAAAAAAGGATGATTATAACTACCACTGGATCTGTAGCCCTCTGGGTGGAGAGTGTGGCCTTCTCTAGGATGGGGCTGGTGCAGGGCAGTGGGAAGGGAGGATGAAGGTGAAACACTGTAACTTTCTGCTCAGGCTTCCTTATGCCTCTAAACCATGTTTTCAGAATTAGCAGCCTGGGAAGCAAAAGAAGCCCAGGGGAACATTCTCACCCCCATCGGTTGCTGCAAAAAAATACAGAAACACTTTCCAAAAGGAAAGGGTGCATTTCCCACCCATATTACCTTTGACATGTTGTATAAACAGGTTTCCAAGTTACATAAACCTTGTGGGCAGCGGTAGCATTTTGGGGTTTTGTTGATCCCATAGGGTCCTGTCTTCAAAAAGAAAAAGTGAGAAATAGAATTTATCCTGTGATCAAATTCAAGGCATAGCAAAGATTTTATGAAATGAATATAATGGTTTAAGTTATACGCCTACACTCTAGACCAGCGGTTCTCAACCTGTGGGTCGCGACCCCTTTGGGGGTCGAATGACCCTTTCACAGGGGTCGCCTAAGACCATCGGAAAACAAAAAGATATTTACCTTATAATTCATAACAGTAGCAAAATTACAGTTATAGAGTAGCAACGAAAATAATTTTATGGTTGGGGGTCACCACCACATGAGGAACTGTATTAAGGGGTCGCGGCATTAGGAAGGTTGAGAACCGCTACAAGAGTCAAATGCCCTGTTTAGTTTTTGTCCCCAGTAGAACATCATGTCTCCTCTTGGCAGCTTTCCTTTTTCCTTTTCTTCAAGCAGCAATTGATCTGAGGCCAGAAAAAAAGCCTTGATAGATTATTTCTTAATGGTACTGCTTTTGGAAAACCGTAAATACAGAGTAGTTTAATCCCAGAAAATTTGGCAGATCATCCCATTGACAGAGTAGGAAAGTACCAGTGCAACATGAGAGCATGTTTCAAAGATTTCTTGGTGAGACGACTTTCCAAATGGCTCATTGTGTTTGAAAAGCAAACAGAGAACTCTGGGAGCAATTTGTTTACATGATCTTTTAACATTAGGCAAATTGGTGACCAGGCTGAATTTAAGAAGTTTTTTGAAAGGTATTTCGGTTTTTCAAGGTAGGCAAGCAAAAAATTCTGTTGTCAGTGGGTGCTACTTGGAGCCTTAGGCGAGCCATGTTAAATTGACCTGTGGTTTCCACACAGAAAGAAATGGCTAATGTTTCGTTCACCTTCCTGCTTCAACAGTTACAGACCAGTACACCCAGAGGCCAGGGGGCATCTTAGTGAGGCACTGACTGAAGACACAGGAGTCGGGACTAGTGTGGCAGGCAGCCCCCTCCCACTGACCACTGGAAATGAGAGCCTGGATGTCACCATCGTGAGGCACCTACAGTACTGCACCCAACTCGTTCAGGTAGGATTGGTGACCGAATTTGTGGTTTAGAGCCCAGGTGATTTATATGCCAGGAAAACGTGCTTTCTTTTTTTTAGTTTTGCCATTATAATTCAGAAATAAAAGAACAGACCTGCTTTGATTTGAGCCAACTCAAAAACTGATGGGTATGCCTGTCCTCCCTCAACCTTGGATTTCCCATCTTGAAACCTAGATCCCCAGACTCACAAGAAAGTAGGCAAAATATAGTTAGCTATCACTTTCAAATCATTTGATAGTAGATGAAAATAATATGGTTAAGAAAATACAGGAATTTGTATTCTGCCTTCCATAAATGGACTTTGAAAGCCAGTATTGCTGAACATGTGTTAATACATGTCACAGGAGTTTTCCACCACCTGGATAGCTAAAAGCAAAATGCTGCAGAATAGAACCATGGTTTTCCAGATTGCAAATAAGTTATTAGCAATGGGAAAGAGCGCTTTTATAGGCCATGATCATCATTCTGGGACACCATGGCGCTTATTTTTCTTCTCATTTCAAGCTGGTTACCACTTAAGATTTTGTAACATATTTTTGCAAAATATTTTGAAATTCTTTCATTGCAGGAGGGGTTTCAGTTGTCTTGAACAAAGCATTTTTTCCCCAAGCATTTGCTTAAATGCTTCCTCCTTGTCTTGTTGCTTGTCTTCTCCCAATCTTGTTCTTTTCCCCAGCTTGCTTAGATGTGTGGGGAACAGAAAAAAAAAAAGTGAAGGCAAATAAATAAAGGTTTCAGAGGGAAGGGAAGGGCTGGTCAGTAAAAAGAGGAAGAATTGTGTTCCAAAGAGCATGGGACCAACTGAAAGACAAGAGGTAAGGTGGAAGGTGACCCAGGAAGGCCAGGAGTGGTGCAATGTTGCTTCTTTGGTAACACACTAATGATGAGATGAAGAATATGCTTTTCCTCCATGAATAAAGAACTCCAAAGTGGCCTCAGACCACTGGTGTGCCATGGGAAACTGTTGGCAATTACGACTCTTACCACTTGGTTGGCCAGCACCCCAGTTGATCTCTTCTGTTGACTGTTGGAATTACAAGTCATAATACTGACAACCAATCTGGCAGCAGGTGCAATTTTTTTCTGACCAAAATTTTTTTCTGACCAAAATTTTTTTCTGAGCAAGGATTGTTGTTTACTTATAGCTATTCTCTATTCACCAACCATTTAAATGAGATGGTTTTCACAGTTGTTTGTGCTTACTGAGTCTAATGCTGTGCTTAGCAAACCACCTGTTCACCTTTTAGAGGTAAAGTCATTATTTTGTGAGACATGAGAAAATTCTCTTCCATGGAGAGGTGAATATTTTCTCCCAAAGACTAATTGGCATGCAATATTCAGTGCAGTGTTTCTCCCTATGATAAGTCCATGATTATAATTCAACTCTTCTGTGGTGAAAATCAACACTAGAAAAACAAAAGAGGTCATATAAAGATGTAGAATGAAAGAGTGAGAATTAAAAACTTAATTTCTAACTCACACCCACTTCTGACCAGTGAGGTTATTTATTCATTTGGTATATAATTGCAGAGAGATAAAAAATGGCATTCCATAAGAATCATAATAACTATATATTTAAAATAAAGTTCTTTTCTAATTTTTTACTTACATGAAAGGTATTAATACATAATTGCTACACTAGTCTTTTGCATTTTAAAATCCTATTTGTTTTAGGAATCCAAATGCTTTAGACAGTACAGGATGGTAGTACAGGTCTGCATCCTGGCATCCATGCCTACCAGATGACTGGGACACAGAAAAGACTAGAACCTTCTGACAGCAGTGACTCCTGTCTTTTCCTCTCTCAGGCCTTTCCTCATTCTTGTGACCTGCACACAAGTGAAATCACTTACTATTTATGTGGCCTTGAGCAGGTTACATAACCTCTCTGTACCCCAGTTTCCTCATCAGTAAAATGAGATATCAATGGTGCTCACCTCATTGGATTGTTGTGAGAAATAACATGAGCTAATTCAGGTATAAGGCTCTGACCAGCACCTGTTCCTTAAGAAGCACTCATTAATTGTAATGAATAGCTTCATTATAATTATGACAATTACACACCATGCTCCTAATTTTCAGCTTGAAAACAATGAAATAATTTATGCTATGAAAAATTGCTACACTTGTAAAGTAAACCTTTTTCTGCTTACATACCAATATGCAACCTATATATTCCCTCCACGTTTCAGAGGAGTTGCAGATTTACAATAGCCTTGCACACTACTTAGAAAATTCCAGAATTTATATAGGCGTGAAAATTCCAGAATTTATATAGGCAGAATTTATATAAGCAACAAAAGACATGTCTGATTTCATCAGTGTTGTAACCAGCATGGAACAGGGACATTATCACACTGGAACAAAAACACAGTAGTGTTTATTTAGCATTACCACTACATGCAAGAAGGATGAGGTTGGGAAGGGACAGCGCTATTGACAACAACATAATTGAAACGGTGGTTTTGTTTGTTTTTATCAGCAAATTGTTTTCTCGAGCAAAACCCCCTTTGTGGCAAGAAATCTCTTAGAGAAGCTTTCTAGGCAAATCCAAGTGATGGAGAAACTCTCAGCAGTCAGTGACGAGAACATAGGAAATATCAGTTCTGTCGTGGAAGGTAAGCCCCTGCAAATGACACCACTGTTCATGTCAATGGTGACACCACTGGCCCACTCCTCTGCTGCATCTGTTCACTGTTTTGTCAGGATAGATAGCAGAAAAGCATTCTTGGGCCATGGAGTATGGGGATGTCTCTTCACTAGTGTGGTCTTCTTAACACCCTGCTTTAGCCTTTAGAGTCAGACCAGGCACATCGCTTTTTCTACAGGGATCTCCACCTCCAGAAGTCAGATACTAGTGTACAAGCAGAACCAGCATCACCGCCTAGGCAGAGTTGCACAGATGTTTTCTGCTGGCACACCATTTTGGAACACATGTCTTAGCCAGCCTTGGAGCTGGCTAAGACAACTCCCATAGTGGCCAACTGTCAAATGCAAGATGCTCCCAAACCCTACCAGGAAAATGTAGAAATACAAGGCTTCAAAGGCCTTTGTGAGAGTCCCTGGGTCAGAGAGTTTTAGTAGAACTTGACACAGGGAAGATGACTGAATTTGTATGGTCTGGTGACAGGGCTCTTTTGTAAAGACAAGAATTGATGTCTTTTTTCACATTGGATATTTAGTTGGAATAGTGGGACACTAGGTTCTTCTAGGTTATCTCTGATTAAGCCTAAACACCCTGTGGGTTGTCTCTGTACATTTCTGCCTCCTGCACCCAGTCCTGCCAGGAGCAGGTGACCTTTGCAGGCATTTGAAGGCATGTAAAGGGATAGGACATTCAGGCTGCAAGTGACTCACGTCCTTTCCTCTCCCAGGCCCTCCTCCATGACCACAACCACACTGGAGTGAAACGTTGACCCTCTGCTACCTGGCACAGTGCCCTTCAATTTCAGTCTGAAAGCCACTGGGCAGGGTAAAACCTCCTGCAGCCTCCTACTGTTCTGTTCCATGCCCTTCATAAAAACCTTCTGAGGTTTGAGTCTCTGATCCTGTATGTTTGTTTGCTATAAAGTTACAGGAGATGAGATGATTGGAACATCTCCCAAGAGCAGAGCTGCTGGTTTTCTGTCACTGAAAGTAAACAGCTTTGCATTTGCTGCCCAGGCTGCATGAGTTCCTCATCATGACTTATTTGTCCTTTGGACCATCTGCCAACTAAGTCTTAAAAAAAAAAAAGGCCCCTGGTAATGCGTGCTCCACCTCACCCAGGTATAGCTCTTCATCTGCTTCATTGGGTTGCTCTTCTTTTCCAGCCATTCCAGAATTCCACAAAAAGCTATCTTTGCTGTCCTTCTGGACCAAGTGCTGCAGCCCGGTTGGGGTCTACCACAGCTCAGCTGACAGAGTGATTAAGCAGTTGGAAACCAGCTTTGCCAGAATTGTCAACAGAGACTATCCAGGACTTGCAGACTCAGGTAGAGGACAGCCGTACAGGGAGAGGAAAGCATTTCAGTCCTGGGGTGCAAGAATGAGAGCTGGTAGGGTTCCCCCTTGCCAGTTTTCCACAGCTAGCCCTGCAAAAAGTTTTACCCTCCAGAGAAAACATAATCTACTCAGTAAGATCTAAGAACAGAAAGACATAGAACATGTTATAATTCAGAGCATCAGCAGTGACTTTTTTTTTTAATTAAAGATATTTTTTAATTGGGGAATTGGGGGAGGGGAACAGACAAGTTNTGTCCTTTTGTTCTTCAGTCTAGTTGTGGAGGACGTTGCTTCACTGGCCCATGTTGGTATTATCATTGCGCTCTTCCCGGGTGAGACAATCGGTCACTAGCCACTGGACAGTAGCTCATGGCAGCCCACTGCAGCCCTGCTGCAGCCTATGCCATCGCTGGTGACTCATGGCAGCCCAGCTCCAGGTTGAGCTGTTATTCACCATCTTAGCTGTAGAGGGCACAGCATCACTGACCCTCATGTTGGATCCAAACCACAGCCCTGCTGCTCAGAGCCAGCACTCCCAAGCCAACTCTTAACCAACGTGCCACAGGGCCGGCCCAGCAGTGACTTTTAAAAGCACTGTATTTCTGTATTGCTCTTTAGTATGTCACCAATACAGGAGTGTCAGATGGTATAACCACTTTGGAAAAACTGTTAGGCCGTTTATTCTAAAGCTAAATATACTCCTCCCCTTTGATCCAGCAATTCTGCTCCTAGATACCAAGAGAAATATTTGTATGTGCGTATACTCACAAAAAGGGACATGTATAAGGTTTTATAGACAAGAGCCAAGAACTGGAAACAACTCAAATGCCCAAGACAATGGATAAATTGTAATATATTCATATAATAGGGCATTACACACCAGTTTTTAAAAGAATAAATTACTGCAACAGGCAACATTTTGGATGAATCTCATAGATATTTTGATGAGTAAAAGAGTCAGATACTGAAGTGCATACTGTATAATTCTATTTATATGAAGTTCAGGAATAGGCAACGCTAACTTTTGTTGCTAGAAGTCATATTATTGATGACCTATGGTGGGGGTGGGTGGTGGGTAGCTGTAGACAGGGAGGGGGCACAAGGGAACTTGTGGGGGTACCCGCAGTCTTCTGTATCTTGATCTAAATGGCAGTTAAACATGGGTATATAGATATGTGAAAGGTCATCTGGCTGTACCCTGAGGATTAGTTCACTTGCATACTTCACTCTATCCTATTCCACAAGAAAAAAAGATGAATGAATAAATGAATGAACGGTCATGTTTCTTAAAAGCTGCTTTGTATCTTCTCTTTCCGAACAGTGTTTCGAACCCTAGTGTCCCAAATCCTGGACCGGGCCGAGCCTCTGCTCTCCTCCAGCCTGTCCTCAGAGGTTGTCACTGTTTTCCAGTATTACAGTTACTTCACCAGCCATGGTGTGAGCGACCTGGAGAGTTACTTGAACCAGCTGGCCAAGCAAGGTGGGACATGTTCTTTGGTCACGTTGTGTAGTGGCTCAATTTGGAGTTATCGCTGGGTACTTTTTTGTAATAGTTTTTAGTGATGGTAACTTTTTTCTTTCCAAGTCAACAGCTGAGATTTGCCTATGAAATGATTTCTGGACCTTTGATATTAGTAAGCCTCTTGGCAATGAACCAGGGATTTACTGAGACCATCCCAACCATCCAGCAGGGTGTATGTACCATTACCAGGAAGCTGGTAAATGATTTAAGACACCGTAGTTTCTTTCCGTCATCAAAGTATTCACCATTTGTGGAATCAAGCCTACCTATTTTATGTTGCCATTTTGGTGGTGTTTTCATAATAATAAGCAAAAATGAGGTTCCAAAGAGAGAAAATGGGAGGACACATTGGAAAGGGTAAGGAAAGACAGAAAACCAAATCTAAGGCTGCATATCCAGGGACTGAGGAAAACGGCACCAATGTAGGAGTGGGGCAGTCAAGTTGCTTGTTGCCTTCTCATGGGGCACTTCACATGTTCGAAATAAAATCAGCATCTGCAATGAGTTAAAACCTTTTTGGGAATAGATCCAGGCAGTGAGGGGCTGTTTCTGGTTCCCAAGTGTGTGCTCTGTAAATACTCTGTGGCCTGACAGTGCTGGTGAAGGGGATGGGAGAAGTGAGCTGTGTTCTCTGGGACAAGGCTGCGCGGCACAGCCCCAGGCAGCAGCCACGTGGCTGGGCCAGAGCCAGGCTCAGCCCTTCTCTTTCCAGGACATGAAGCCCTGCAGCATGTCCAGCACAGTGGTTGGCATCACAGTGAGAAGAAAATTTTCTTCCCCCCAGCGCCACAGTAACCTGAACGGGGGAGAGTCTGTGCCCAGCCCCCTGAGAATACAAAGCCTAGTTCTGAGCATGAGAATGAGCAAGCTGAAGCCAGAGACACTGTCTTAGGAACACAAGGTCTCATTTTACTGTATCCTTCATTTCTAGAGCCTAAATTTGTCTCAGTCTAAATCGATTTTCTGAGTGAATTTCTATGTTACTCAGTTTACATCGCTGGCAGTTGATGTCTCTAAGTCTTATTAACAGGGTTCCAAGGAGCAGCTACTCACTTATCAGTAGGAATGGAGAATGAAATAGAAAAAAGACCCTAAACTTTTTTTTTCTTTCTTTATAAAAGGAAAAGGCCCTCATTATAAGAAAATTTAGAAAACATAGAGAAGTATAAAGAAAAAAGTTCAAATCATCCATTCTTTACTTTTAAAAATTGAATGTATTTTTTGGTTGAATATGCCGCGACTTGAAATTTCAAAATTGTGATTGCGCATTGTAGAATATAACATCGTGGTTTTTTATTTGTCATTATATCCCGTTATTAATTCTTTTAAATATTTGTTTTAGTTGTACAATATTGCTGCATTTGGATGTATACTAATATATTTGATTATTGAACATTTAGGTTGTTTCCCATTATTTATTTAGCTGTTATATATAATATTATCTCAAGATTTTTTTACTAGTGTATTTATTTATAAAGCAGTGAAATTACCAGAACATCTACAGCAGGAGAAATAGGAAAGAAATTAAAGCAAAAAAATCTTTAATTCACAAACTTGTCCACTGTGTAGAGGATGCTGTTCTATTGACAGAACATGAATATTTGCTTATATTTTCCCATCTGTACTAACTAAACACACTCTTATCCTAATGTTTTTGTGGCTCATGGATGCCCATGCTGGAAATCTAGTTAGGGATTAGCATACATTCCTTAGTCAGGGAACATGGTCAGTTTGTCCACATAGGACTCAAAATCCTATTTTTTATCATTTTCCAATCAATTAACTGGATTCCATCAGAACCCAGTTACCTGAGTGCAGACAGAGAACTCAGAGTTGGGGTCATTCAGGGTTAGGGTTTTGCCAGATGTGTGTGACTAAAAGACAAAGAGGCAACAGAGTTTGCTCCATCAGGAAGACTGTAAAGTGTTTACTTGTATTTTCTTCACTATGTATATTTATATTTAACTATATTTAATTCATCTATAAGTTATTTTAGTAGCAATTTGCAATGGAGATCCACCTTCATCTTTTCTCCTAGAACTTGCCATTTGCCTTACTATAGTTATTTGAATAATCTGTCCTCTTCTCACTAATTGGAAATATCACCTTTATGTATGTACTTGGATCTGTTATTATGTATATACTTGAGTCTCATTTACATTTTTAACGAGCTCATTACTTTTCTGTCAGAAGATGAATGCTTTTTTCTTCTCACTCTAGTTTCCATAGTGCAGACTCTGCAATCACTAAGAGATGAAAAACTGCTCCAGGTCATGAGCAGCCTTGCACACAGCAGCCTGCTGGCCCAGCAGGAGGTACTCAGGACCCTGGCTCTGCTCTTAACTGGGGACAACAATAGAGTCACAGAGGCTGTGAGGCTCCACCTGGCAGCAGCTGCCAGAAACGAGCATTTCAGGGAAAAGGTAGGACACAAAATCATGGCCATCAAGCCCAAAGAGTGCTTAATTTCCTGTCATTTACTATTAATATTTTGCCATTTTTATTTTATAAAAACAATTCACTTCCGTTTATTAGTAATGTATACTCTGTAAAACAATTGGAACTACAAAAATATGCTGTAATACTTAAGTACATGTAAGTCCAGCCCCCAGAGAAAATTATTAATAACTTAGTGTATATTTCTGCAGATTTTTTCTATATACCTACTTGGTAACATATGTAATTATTTTTCGTAAATGAGATTATACTGTTGTGTTGTGTAACTGATTTTTTAAATGTAATATACCATGGCTATTTTCCATGTCAGAGCATATTGATCTACTTCATTCTATTTGATGGAGTATTGGCCTTTGAGAGTATGCATATTCCATAATTTATTTTCTTATTCCATAGTCATGGACATTTGTGTAGTTTCCAACTCTGAAAAATGTTATGGTGAACATACGTGTGTGTATTCACACACACATATTTTATGAGTAGTTTGGGATCAAGTCATCAGACTATTGCGTCAAAGAGTTAAAATATTTTTCATTTTAAAGCCACCACTCTCATCATTAGGGAAAAGATAATTTATTTCTTCCTTGGCTTAATTCAACTGTCACCAAAAATAAACATATGGGATTACATCAAACTAAAAGTTGTTTTCGCAGCAAAGGAAACCATCAATAAAACAAAAGGGCATCCTATTGAATGAAGATATTTGTCAGTGATACATCTGATAAGGGGCTAATATCCAAAATTTATTTTAAAAACTCATTCAGCTCAACACCAAAAAAAACAAACAACCCAATTAAAAAATGGGCAGAGGACATGAAGACACATTTTTCTAAAGAGGACATACTGATGGCCAACAGACATGAAAAAATGCGCAACCTCACTAATCATTAGAGAAACGCAAACAAAAACCACAGTGAGATACCACCTCACTCCAGTCAGAATGGCTATCATCAATAAATCAACAAACAAGTGCTGGCGAAGATATGGAGGAAAGGGAACCCTCGTGCACTGTTGGTGGGATTGCAGATTGGTGCAGCCATTATGGAAAACAGTATGGAGGTATCTCAAAAAACTGGAAATGAGACTACCTTATGACCCAGCAATTCCACTCTACCCAGAGAAATCCAAAACGCTAATTTGAAAAAATATATGCACACCTATATTTATTGCAGCGCTATTCACAATAGCCAAGACATGGAAACAACCAAAATGTCCATCAGTAGATGACTGGATTAAGAAACTGGAGTACATTTATACAATGGAGTATTACTCAGCCATAAAGAAGAATGAAATCTTACCATTTGCAACGATATGGATAGACCTAGAGAACATTATGCTAAGTGAAATAAGTCAAACAGAGAAGGACAAATACCATATGATCTCACTTATATGTGGAATCTAAAGAACAGAATAAATAAGCAAACTAATCAGAAACTGTCTCAGAAATATAGAGAAAAAACTGAGGGTTGCTAGATGGGAAGGGGGTGAGGATGAGGGAGAAGGTGAGGGGATTAGAAAGCACAAATTGGTAACTACAATATTTCCACAGGGATATTAAAGACAGTTTGGGGAATATAATCAACAATGTTGTAAAGATTTTGTAGGGTGTCAGATGGACACGTCTTATTAGGGAGACCACTTCATGGACAGTGTAGATGCCTCACCACTACAGTGTGTATACCTGAAGCTGAAGCTGAATAATACTGAATGTCAACTATAACTTAATATATATATATATATAATCACAGGATGTGGAGTACAGCATAGGGAATAGAGTCAATGGAATTGTAACAGCTATATACGATGTCAGAGGGGTAGTAGATTGGAGGAGGGGAGTTATCACTTTGTGAGGGGCGTAAATGTCTAACTATTACATTGTTTTGTATACCTGAAACTAATTTAAAAAATAAAATAAAATGGCCATTGTAAAAAAAGAAAATTCAACTGCCACCAGGAGTAACAGGCATCTGAAATTTATGCACACTGGGGCCCAGTCCAAGGAGGGGGGTTGATCCTCTGGGAGCACCTTACAGTTTGAAAGTCATTCTAAAAACTAACTCACATCGACCTTCAAAAAATTAAACCTGGCCCCTTCTTGTCCGTGGAAAGGTCAAATGTTGAACTCTGAAAAGACTTTAAGTTTCCTAAGGCATTATCTAAGCTAGGGTACAGTGGGACGTTTGTGTACTCATGAAAAGATAGTCAATTCTAATGCCATTTTGGTCTAAAAGCATGAACTTCATATTGTTCTTTCTTATAAAGTTCTGCTCTTTTAGTGGAATTAACTCAAAAGGTTGTTGTGGAGGCCAGCTACCCACACCCCCACTGAAAAGAGAGGAGATATAATTCACATGCCATAATATTCACCCTTTAAAGTATGTAACTCAGGTTTTTAGTATATTAAAACTATCACCACTATCTAATTTCAGGACATTTTCATCACCCTGAAAAGAAATCCTATACCCATTAGCAGTCACTCCCATTGCCCCCCCTACAGTTCCTGGCCACCACTAATCTGTCCTCTGTCTCAATGAATTTGCCTATTCTGGACGTTTCATATAATTGGAATCGCATAATATGTGGCCTTTATGTCTTTCACCCAGCATGATGTTTTCAAGGGTCATCCATGTTGTAGCATGTCAGTACATTCCTTTTTATGCTGAATAATATTCCATTGTAGGAACAGACCACATTTTCTTTATTCATCAATTGATGGACATTTGGGTTGTTTCCACTTTTTGGCTATTATGAATATCATAAAAATAAATGTCCCATTTCACTTGGACTTTTGCATAGCTTCCATCAATTGGTTTTAGACCTCCAGGTTGAGTGACTCTCTTCTATGTGATTGACTTAGCATCTTGTAGCTTTCTTATGGAACTAATATGTTTCTTCTCTTCAGTTCCTTCTAAACAGTCTTAGCATTTCTACTAGACCCTAGAGTCTCTTGAAAGCTGGACTCATAACTTTGCATCTTCCAACTTCATATTTCCCAGAGTCCGTGACCTAGTAGCATATAAAGGATCCATGTACTGAATAAAGAGACAGCTCTTTTAATGAACATTAATTTTTTTTATTATGAAATACACATTTTTTTAGAATTAGTTTCAGCTCTACAACACAGTGCAATAGTTATACTTTTTACCCCTCGAAGTGACAATCCCCCTCCCCATGAACATGAATTTTAATGGTTTTGTTTTTTGCCCTGAAGGTAGGGCAAAATATTTTATGTGTAGTTCATCTCTGATAATAAAAATGATATATACCTCTAAAACCACAAACAAATCAAAATGTCCTCATGGTGTCCTTCCTTCTCTTCCAGGCCTTGCTCTATTATTGTGAAGCACTAACAAGGACAGACCTCCAGCTCCAGAAGGCAGCGTGCCTGGCCCTGAAAAGCCTGGAGGTAATGCCCAGCCACAGAGCCCCTCCAGTTCAGCTTTGAGCAAGACTAAGCCAAGAGCAGTAACAGTATCCTTCCACATGTAGAAGTGCCCGTTTTAACAGCATTTCTCATCTCCTTTGCACTGTATATGAGTTTGGGGTCCTTTTTTTTCTTTTCCCAGAAACTAAATGTGACTTTTGACTTTTGTTTTGTTCAAGTCAAACTGTTTCAGAAAACAATTACAGTTTTTCAATAACCCCCAGGAATTAGTTTGCCTCCGGGTCAGTACTAGAAAAGCATATCTTATCTCAAAAGAGAGATGACATGATGATTTCACCAATTTTCACTGTGATTAAAAAATAGCAGGGACACATGAAATTTGCAAAGAAGTTCTAAAATTCAATGTGCCGATAAATTTCCAGATTCTTCCCCATGAACTGTTTTTATTAAGCAGCTTACAATCTTAACTGTCAGGTGTTCGTGAGAGAACTAAAATGTAAATGAAAAAAGAAAACACTGAAAATTCCCAACATTAACGAGTTTACCTTTCAGTAGTCAAGATTTAATGTTTAACCTACCCTAATCGCAAAAAATAAGGCTACTCTTGAGAAAAGAATGAGAAGACCACATCTTAGAGCTTGCTAAAATCTTGGATGGGTGCTTGGGACAAGGGGCAGGATCCTGGAGGTCTGTCTGGAAGTGAAGGCAGGGATTAACACCTCAAAAGAAAAAGTTAATGTGACCTGTGAAGAAAAACAGCTCTGGGAAATTTTGCCTTTTGTTACTTGGTCAAATTTTACCTTCCTATGACCAAAAGAGCCCACAGTGATGGCTATTTATTTGGGTGCTCTCCTGACATACAGTCACAGCTTAGTGATGATGGCTGTGATACAGAATTAGTGTAAATCAAGACATGAGGATGCAGTGATCTGTATCTGTTTTGTGGATTGAATGCTGTACAGGTTTCAGTAAAAACTATAGTTTTAAACTCTAGTATATCCCAAGTCTGGGAGCACCGATTCCTCCCCATTTTCCCTTTCTCCAAGAGGATAGGCTCATTTGGGCTGAATAAAAGACCTCTTTTTAAACCATCCCCAGCCCCCCAGCTCACAGTAGGGTTCTGTGCAGCATGGTGTGAAAACCAGTGCAGACTCAGGTTTTCATCTACTCTACCCAAACCAATCAACACTAGTTAACTTGTCAGGGAAAATAACTTTTTTAAAATGAATGATAGCAAGCAGACACCTCACATTTTCCTTTTCTATTATCAAACTGAAAACAACCTTGAGAGATCGAAGTCCTCAAAATCAAGTGGCCCTCCAACGTTAAGGTCCCATCTGTCTCATTGGGTTAAAATAACCCAGCATCCACACTCCAATTCACCACGTTCTGGCACCCAGCACTGCCACTACTGCTTCATAGGCCTAGCTTTCTTCCACAAAAGAAAACTATAATTTGTCACCCATTATCAACTCCTCAAAATCTCAGCAAGAACATTTGGTTTTATAGCAGGCAGTTACTTCTTTGACCTGCTCTAAATAGTGGGGGTGTTACAGATGCTCTACCAGGCTCTCTTCCCCCTCCACATGTTCTCCCTGGGTAACCATCTATATGCTAGTAACTCCTAACATTTCCTGTCCAGGTCTCCCTATCCTATTATCCAGCTGGCTGTTGGATATCCCCACTAGGAAGTCACCCCAAACTCCACCCATCTCACCCCCAGCTCGTCTTCTGTATCTTAGTGGATCGCATAACCCAGACAGCCCGAATCTGTCCACTCTTTGTCCCCACTCTGTTCACCTGGATTTGAGCTTCCTTTCTACCAATCTCTCTGCCTTCTTCAAGTCCGAACTCCTTTGAAGTCCATCTTCTTCACTGCAACTAGAATGCTCATAATAGAATAGAAATCCTGCTTAAACCTCTTACACGGCTTTCCATGATCTTAGAATAAGTCCCAAACCATTCATGTGGCTTACCAGGCCCTCCTTAATTTGGTCCCTGTCACAAGCTATTCCCCTTGCCTAGAATTTGTTTCCTTCTCCCCACCTCCAAACACACTACTGCGAACAGGATGTGGCTATCAACGTAGCAGTCTCACACACATTTGTGTCTTTCCACAATGTCAGACTTTATTAGAATAAAGCCATGGATCTAGTCCTACTGACTCAATTTCCCATGGGCATTCACCAAGACTCCAGCCAGAGAATAGCCTCCAATAGTCGAGGTAGAGCAGTTTCATACAAGAGGGTCTTTCACACAGGTTTGCAAACAACAGGGTTAGGCAAGGTAAACAGAGTCTTACGAAAGGATGAGAGAGAGTCCGGTGTTCAGCGAGAGTCCCTGCGGAACTGGGATGCATAGTGTCGGGCATCAGGCGGGGCTGGTTAGACAGTCAGGAGGTGAGGCTCCAAGCTCTGCCTGGGATGAGGTGAGGCTGTCAGCTCATCAGTTAAGGCCTGAGTGATGAGCTGTCATAGAGCTCTGATTTTATGCTCAAGACTGGGTGCAGTACAGTAAAGCTCATCAGCAGTCCAATAAAGCAGTCCAGATGGTCACACTTCACGCTGCGTCTGGAGTTATCTGGTTAGGGCGTTCACTGGGTATGCCTTTCACGGGATACACTGGCATGACTGTTATTTTGTGACTGACATAGCTATCAAAATTATTAAGAGTCCATTTTGTGTTCATAATTAATGCTACACACACACCACCACCACCACCACCACCAGCACCACCAGCACATGCCCAAACATGGCTAACTCCTCTAAGATATTACTTCCTCCATGAAGATTTCCCTGAGCAGACCAGATTATGTTTCTCAGTGTTCTGCACTCATACCCCAACTCAGCCTATAGTACATTGTAGTACTTACTTTATTTGTTTAACAATCTGCCTCTCTCCTAGACTGTAAACTCCTGAGGGCCAGGACCATTTCTACTCTGTTGCTGAATCCCCCACACCTTGTGAACTGCTTGGTTCATAGAGTGCTCAATCAATGTGGAATAAACAAATAGGAGAATGCCCATCGTTGACCTTTCTTCTCCTCTTCTAGTTTGGCATATAAGCTTAGGAATTCTTAAAGTAGAGCTGCTTTGGAAGCAGTGAGATACAGTGGGAAAAATGACGAGAAGTGGACTCTACTTTGAAAAAGCAGGCTAGTCACTCCCTTTCTCTAGGCATGGAGACCTCTGCAATGAGGGATTTAGCTGATCATCAGAGCTCCTCCAAGTACAAATCCTGGGCTCCATCCCAGGAAATTCTAATACAGTACATCTTGGAGTGGTACCCAGGAACCTGTGCTTTTACAAGAGCTCCTGACACTCAGCTAGGTTTGGGAACCCTGGGTAAGATGGTTTTAAAGTCCCCACCAGCTCTGAAATGCCGTCTCATGTAACCTCAGACATAAATGTCAGAACACGATTTTAACTGTTTTCTCCCTATAGGCTACTGAAAGCATTAAAATGCTGGTAACCCTGTGTCAGTCCGATGCTGAAGAAATCAGAAATGTGGCCTCAGAAACTCTCTTGTCTCTTGGTGAGTTTTTTTTTAATGATGTTTACTTTTGACTCTCAAAGGGAACTGTTAGAAGTTTCATGTGTACTGTTTTAGCAGTCTTCCCCCTATGGCTATCTGTGGGTACACACACACACACACACACACACACACACACACACAGAGCCATACACACACAGAGCTGCTCATTCTAGTCTCATTCCAGCTCCTGTTCTATCCAGATGCTGAGGGTGAAGGCTGCTCTGTGAAGCCTTTCTAGATTGTTCATCAATCTGTGTACTATTTGGACTCAAGAACAAAGAAGTCAAACCCTAATCAGGAGTCCAGGTTGGATGACCAGGTTGGGGTTGGCACCACCTGGAGGACAGTTGGCTGACAGGAGACAGCAATCCCCCAGGTGTCACCACTCACCCTAAATCTCGGGTGTTAACCTCTGATTACCCTGCTGGCCATCCCACCTGAGCCATGACACCAAAGAAAAGAACTGAAGTATTTATTTTATTCTGGAATATCTATATAAACCTTCCCCCTTGTGGGCCAGCCGAGAGGCTCAGTTGGTTAAGAGCTCGCTCAAGAGTTTGAGCTCTGAGCAACAGCAGTTCGAGTCCCAGCCCGAGCTGAGCAGCTGCTGAGCTGCCAACAGGTGGCAGGATGGCTCAGCTAAAAAAAAATAAATAAATAAACAAACCTTCTCCTCCACTTTCTAAAGGTTCATGTTTAGCAGGTGTCATACTTTCATTATTTGGGGGAGTTGGGAGGTAGAGAGGCTTTTTAAACTCTGCATAAAAATATAAATAGTTATAAATAATTTTACTACTACAACATACTCGTAAAGTGTAAAAACTAGACTTCTACAAGTCCTCAACTAAAATTCAGTCAATAATACTGGTTGGAAAAAAGCCACTTTACTTTGACTCTAGTAGTTTAACAACATAAGGGAAGATCTCCTGGCATTTATAATCACCATGAAAAATCACATTCATTGCTAGTTGTTCTTTCTTACAGTTACTGGTTTAATAAGGCTTCTTTCTGCTATTGCATAGAACATTCCAGGCACAGAAATCTTAGCCAGCATGTTTGTTTAAAGGATAAAACAGTTATTCCTTATGGCTGTATTCAGCATAGAAATTATTTAATTCTCTAAAAATGTGCCCAGGGTATTATTAGTTTGAGCTTCTTTTATTCTTTCGTTTTCTGAAATAACAATGAAGGCTAGCCAGACGTTTGTAAAGCACAGCCAACTATCCGTCTATTTCCAGTGTAACCAAAGGAAGCTGACGCCTGTTGAATGTGCCCAAGTCACTTCAGCTGCACAGACAGCAGCATCTCCAGGAGTGGTCACAAACCTGCCTCACCTTAGCTCTTTATATGCATGGCTACCCGCACCCAGCCACCATGTCCTGTCACATCCCCAATTCATGGCTGAATCACCAGGGGTGCTTTAAAATATACCCAGGCCTGGTCCACTTCCAAAGATTCTGCTTTTGTTGGTGTGAGGGTACCTCGGTATTGGGACTTTTAAAAGCCTCCTAAGTGATTCCCTCAGATTTTTGGTTTATTGGAAGGCTTCTGTTTCCAGAGACTACAATAGGTTATAAAATCCATGACTACACTCGTTTTTTAAAACCCACTAATATCAATATATCTCCAGCATTTCATGAATCTTTTTACTTTTCACAATAAGCTTCCAATTGAGCACAACTATTTCCATCTTTGTCTCACTTGCATTAAATGTATAAAGCCTGCTTCTTACCACTAGTTTTCTGTACTTCTTTTTTTCCCCATTTTCTAATAATTTTTTTAAATAAGAAAAATGGAACAAAATATTCAAATAATTTGCAAATACATGTTGGCTGTTCAAGATGGTACTACGGACAAAACTGAACTAGCTGTTGGTGGTAGACATCACCACCACATGTTTACATGGCAAAGAGTAATTTTTCGGGGAAAGTCTGAAAGCCTAAATTTGACTTTCATGAAAGATCATTTGTATTACCAAAATACTCATATAATGTATAGAAGTAAAAGTTACATAAAAGTTCAATGCACTGAAGTCAAGGAGCAGGCATATTGAAATCCCTAATGCACTTAAAATACAATCCATATATTTTCTCAGGAATAAATCTATTATGTGAAATCATTATCACATGCTCACAGGTTCTATTTTGTTTCACACCCTGGCATTCTTTGTCTCTGGCATTAGCTCAAAAGTCCTTGGTTTTTCAAAACATTACCTAGAAACAATATAATTAAGAGTAACAGAAAATGACTTTCCTTACCTAAACCTAGTATTAGCAAAAAATGGCAGTCCATACCTAAGCAACTGGTATTAATTTATTATCCTGAGTGGTGAATTAAAAAGTTAAGTTCAAATTGGTATTCATTTCTCCTGTTGTATATCCAGGAGAAGATGGGCGGCTGGCATATGAACAATTGGACAAATTTCCTCGAGACTGTATGAAAGTTGGAGGTCGTCATGGAACTGAAGTGGCCACAGCCTTTTAATCACCCGTTAGCTCTGCCTAACAGCTGTCTTAACAAATTGCCCTTTTAATCAAGAGGGTGCTGAGATTTAGCTGGAATGTGTTTAAAACTTGAAGAGTTCTGTTGAGGTTGTCTGGAAATCTAACATGTTATAGAAAGAATTCCCAGTCCAGTTTCACAGTACCCATGTACTTTTCCTTTGGCCAGTACAATAGGTCTGTGTGTAATTTAGATTACATCGTTAATTGCGTCAGACAATACCTAGTGAAAGAGTCTGTCATATCTAATATGTATGGAATTTTTAAATAGTCATCTTTGTACTTTTTTGGAAGTTCTATTAGCTTGAAACGGTACTGTGATACTTTGATAAATACCTTGCAGTTTTTCTGTCGTGCTCTCAGGGTTCAGTGGCCCCCTTAGTTACCTAATTTTATCTTAAGTGAAAAGCACAAAAAATTTTTTCAAATAAAAGTTTGCCTGCAGAACCTGGTAAAATGACATTGTAAGAGTTTAATGTTTTTTTAATTTCATTTTTCAAGCCTCCACTATTTATTTCTTTTCTCCATCCTAAAAATTCCAAAAGCATGTTTCCATTATGGTAAAAAGACAGGTAGATGATTATGAACTACTTGATGAGATTATACCCATACTTATTAAAAAAAAAAGACACAAAGCTTGAGCTTTTTTTTTTTTTAAACAGCCTTTATACTTTTACAATAGAGGTATTTTGCTGCTAAGACTAATCAAAACCAAGAGCCAAGGATTCAGAAAGCTGGGATGCTCTTTGAGGTAGAAGAACATGAAGTTGGACAAATCCTAATGAAGTGGAAGCAGAGGGACATTAAAAGTGGTCCTTGCTTCTGTAAAGGTTACCGTAAGATTAAGAAGACTGACTGCCCTGAGGGGTGGTTACTACCCCAGAGAAGTCACTCCCAACTGCAAGGATCCCTTGGCCAAATAGTTAAACATCTCCAATTAATTGTTCAAATGAAGGTAGCAAACCCATTAAATAAAATACAAGACCCACTTCAGTAGCTCCTATTAAATAACCTTTCTTCTTCTTAAGAGTATACGAGGTGAGATATGCCAAGATATCAAAATAGTATGTGTGAGTGTAACTTAAACTGTGGAATAATAACTGTATTCTGGATTGTTTGTATAAAATACCATTTAGATGTCATTTTAAATATTTACATTTTAGCAAGACCTTTAAAAACAACTCATTTTAAAGTCAAAGTTGTTTGCCAGGCTTCCTGGCAAATAGTCCTTCTAACTGTGAAGTTATAATGTGTATATATATTTGTATATTTATAAATATTATATATATGCATATATCCTTCATTTTAAAAGTACATTGTACAGTCTATAGTTGGTTGAAATGTTTCTTTTTATAGAAAGTCAAATCACAAAAGTTACAGTTTTTTGTTTGGTTTGTTTTTTATTTTTTGAATATTGCATGAATAACTCCATTATCTTTTGTATTCACTTCTGCATTTTATTTTTTGGTTGAAGGGGGTGCTTTTAGTATTGTGGTATTTGTATTCATCACTGTTTCAATCATGTAAGTTAAAATAAAAATTATTTTTGAATTATTAGTCTCATCTACAGTCTGCTTTATTTTTTTCACATGCCTCTGAGTTGGTATAGACACAACACACTACACCTCATTCTTAACTTGAATTAATTCTTATCTTGAAATTCCTTCATCTATAAATGAGAATAATATTTACTTCTCTGATTTTCTGTAAAGCTAATTGGAGGAAAAGGAGACTGCGCTCCTTGTAAAAAGCACATTTGCATGTGTTCCTGGCCCAAATCTCCAGCACACAGTGCTTCCTAATTTGTGTATTCCATTCTATTGTGTTGCTAAGTGATGCATTCCAGAGTTCTTGACTGTTCTGTTACTGCCAAGTGGTGTAACTGTAGCAGCATTGGCCTTTTTTACACAATGGCCAACACCCGTGTTTGTTGTGTGCAATTTTGGACTCAGATTTATCAGTATTTCGTGGGGCTGTATCAGTGCCTCCAGAGATTCTGGAGTGTCGATGTTAAGGGCCTTTTCCTTAAGAAAGAGGAAGAACATATCCCTCCAGCTGAGAGTATTTTTCATCAAGAAAAAATTGTGGTACTTGGCCATATGTTGAAGAACAAATCTCTAGCCATTGACAAGAGGGCTGAAGCCGCCTATAGAATCGGACTGTTGTCCTTCACAGGTAGATTTAACCAGCTGTGCTAAAATAGGTGTTTCAAAATCCTTTTGCTTGTTATACCACTTAGTGATTTTCATAGCTCTAGTCTTAAAATTTCAATAACATTTCCTTTGCCTAAATTATTAGTCTTTGTACCAACAAAGGTATTACCAATTATTTTCTCAAGGATCTGTTTTAAAAGAACGTGTCTGTCAAATAAATTACTAATTGTTATTCCACTTTTATTAATATAGTATATACTGGAATTGACTATCAAAGTTCTCATAATTAAAAAAAATCAAAGAATCTACACTAAGTTGATATAATTCCAACCTAGTGATATGATTCCAACATGATTTTTTAACTTGTAAAAATGCATTACAGAGAAAAAAGCTTAGAAAAATCACTAAGAACTTAATGCTTCTAAAACACCTGCCAGGAAAGCCAATAGGTGCATCTGTGAAAAGCAACAATTAATGTATACTTGGCTAGAAATTAAGTGGTAAACCATCTAAACACACACCACTCTCAAGATTGTCAAGTCCAAACTCACTCCATTTTTTCCCCCTAATTTCAGGATATGTAATAAAATTTTATAGTCCTTAACAACACATCTAACTAATTAGAAGCTCTGACTGGTAGCTGTGTCATATTTTTTTTTTAATGGGAAAATGAGTTACTTAGATCTAGTTTGATAGACTAAATCTTTCAAAGAATGGTATCCATGAGAGAAAACATTTACTGTTTTCAAGGACCAAGGTGCCAGAATGGTTGAGAGCCACTGGCATAGGTGGAGAGAAGGCAGGAAACAGAACTCCCATGTGAAGGAGGGGTAAATGACACCCACCACACCAGGCAGGCTCAGCTCCTTACATAGCTTTATTCCCCATTTGGGGGAAGAGCTAGCTAATTATAAAAGGATCAGAACCCTTTAACTTTGTGTTATTTAGGCTTATCTGTACTGGTGGGAAGCAAAGAAAAGGGCTTGTTGACTAGAACATTCTTGGGATCACAGTAATTTTGCACAGTGCTAGTGCAAGTTAAGAGAAATCCAAGCCAGTTCAAAACTCCAATGGCTAGAATCTGGCCAATTATGCCAGCTATTCCACACCATCTAAGTAGTCTTCATCCAATGACTTCTTGGAGTTTGAGATTTGAACTAGGAAGTTCTGGGGTACAGTTATATGATGAAAGTAGAGTCCAGGGCAGCCGGATGGCTCAGTTGGTTCGAGTGCGTGCTCTGAGCAACAAGGTTGCCAGTTGGATTCCCACATGGGATGGTGGGCTGCGTTCTCCACAACTAGATTGAAGGACAACGACTTGACTTGGAGCTAATGGATCTTGGAAAAGTTACCCAATAAAAATTTTTAAAAAAGAAAGTCGAGTCCAGGGCCAGGTTGGTCAGTAACCAAAACAAGGAAAACCTTGTAAGATCATATTGGTTCCAGATCTGCAAGAGTTGGGCTTAGAAATGTGTAAGAATGGGCGAGGATGAGAGCAGCAGAGCAATGGACTCATGTAAAACCTCTCTTATGCTAGACCCAGCTTGCAGCTCAGCTTTTTGGACTTCTTTGTTTGCTCTAATGCTCTGGTTTTTTTTTTTTTTTCAAATACTGAAGATGAAGAATCAGGAATGAGATGAGGGAGATTTGCTAGGTGAACACAGCCAGTTTTATTTGACCTGGAAATATGGACTCCTGGATGCTTGATTAAAAGAAACTGGCAGGCAAGGATATTCCAGTGCTTTTCATATTACTCGTTAATTAGCAACACACATTTTCTCATCCTCACAGCAGCACACAAGGTGGGGAAAAAGAGGAAAACTCCAAGTATCCAAAGTGTCAGTATAATAGCAACAAGAATATGAACACACATGAGCACATGTCACTAGCTTACTAAATCTACCAAAAACTTCTGAAAATGCAAATGCTTGTTTTACAGGAGGACCAACTGCTGGGAAATTTGCAGCTAAGTACATGAAAGAAGTAGCTCACTTGCTGCAAAATCACAATATGGCACCAAAAATTAAAATCCTGCTGCTCCAGAGTGTAGCATGTTGGTGTTACTTGAACCCTGTCAACCAGAAAAGAGCCAAACATCTGCAGTTTATTCCCATTCTCACTGGTATTTTTGACAACAGACTTGAGTCTACCATCAAAAGTGAAATCAACAACAACCTCCTGGTTAAGTTTTGGACTTGCTACGTCCTCTCTGTCATGGCATGCAATAACTTGTCTTGCATGCAGGAGCTTAAAGACTGCAGCACTCTAAAATGCCATCTGCAGATGTTGGCTAGTGAGAATTGGTCTGGATGGCCTGAGAATTTTGCCGAGGTACTATATTTCCTAATTGGTTTTCACAGGAATTAACTTCTCTAAATCCAGTTCCATGACACAGCTGTCCGCACCACTGGAAAATGGAAATAAATAATAAAAGTCAATATATTATTCTTCAGTGTTTTCTTTTAGGTAGTTGAAAACTTCCATATAAATTTCCAGTTAACGCAATAACCAAACTTATGAAAAGCACTGCTGTTTAAAATTACCTCATGAAAATTAAGTTTATAAAATGGGAATTCATGGGAATATATATTACTTATAGAACTATGAGGAGCAATGGTACATTTGGAGTTATTAGATGACATTAAGCCAACACACCCCAAAATGCCAAATCCTAATCCAACCTGTTGTAGTAGACACTGACTGGTGCCCCACTTGTATCCTTTCAGCCCTATTTCAATGACGGTCTTCCAGCTGCCATGTTTTGGGGGTGAGGTGGTTTTCTGACTACCAGAACATGGTATCATCTATTGCAAATCAGTCCAACATTTGTTGACATGTGATATCTAATTGAAAATCACACTCATCTAAATTTTTCCAAATTCTTCATCAGCTAGTTAGTTCCCAGGTGATAGAAACTTAACATCCATCACCCCAAGTTTCCTCTTAAAATCCATCCCCAAAACCACCCACAAGATCCCTAGGCATCTACTGTTTTCTCAAACTACAGTTTGAAGTTTTACTTAAAACAGAAGCATATGGTAGGTACTCTTACCTGGTTTCTCACTCAACATCATTGAGACTTACCCAGGTTGTGTACACCAATTGTTACTTTTTTATTGCTGAGCAGTATTCCAATGTATGGATATGCCACAATTCATTGATTCGTTCACTTGCTGATGAACATTTTGGCTATTACAAATAAAACTGAAAATTGCGGACTAGTCTTCACGTGGACATATGCTTTCATTTCTTAAGTACCTAGGAGTGGAATGACTGGGTCATATGGAATGTATGTTAACTTTTAAGAAATTGCCAAACATTTCCATAGCATCTATAGTATTTGACACTACCACCAGCACTGCAGGAGTACCCACTGCTTCATATCCTTGACACCAGGTATGCTCACGTTTTTGTTTTTCAAACTTTAGCCATTCCAAAAGGTAAACAGTATCTCACTGTAGGTTTAATTTGAACTTTCCTAATGACTGCTGATGTTGACATCTTTTCATGTGCTTATTTGCTGTATATATTCTTTGGTGAAGTGTCCAAACCTTTCCCCAATTTAAAAAATAAGGTTGTCTAATTACTGAGTTGTAAGAACTCTTTACAGATACAAATCCTTTGTTGAATGTTTTGCAAATATTTTCTCCCAGCCTGTGCCTTGTCTCTTCATTAGTCTTTCAAAAAAAAGTTTTTGACTTTCATGAAGCCCAATTTACTAATATACCTCATGCTGTTTGTGTCCTGTTTGATAAATCTTTGCCAAATCCAAGGTCACTAAGATTTTTTTCCTATATTTTCTTCTAGAAGATTAGTTTTAACTCTTAAATTTTAAAATTCTCTTCAATTCCTCCCCTTTTTTGCTCTCTACCACACAAATCCTGTCATCCATTTTTGTCATTTTCCAGAAATACTATTTGCCAAGTTATCCTATTCTACTTGGCTCTTCTCATTTTAACAGCCTCTCAGCTGATTTCCCTCTCCCCCAACCCAGATTCTTTAAAAAAAAATTTTTATTATAGTGAAAAAATATATATATAAAATTTAGCTCTTCTTTAATTCTATCTTTAGGCTAGTGGCCAATATCTAGAGCTGCACTGTGTAATACAGTAGCCACTAACCTCATGTGGCTACTTAAATATAAACTAAAATTTCAGTTCCTCATTCACATTTCAATGCTCAACAGCCATGTACAGCTAACTGGTTATCATACTGTACAGCACATATATTTCCAACATCTCAGAAAGTTTTATTGAACAATGTTGCTATAGATTAACAATAGCTTCTTTTAAGCATTTAGTTCAGGCACTGTAGTAAAGGTTTTAATCCTCACAATAACAGAGGTAGACTTTATGTCAATATTAGAAATAAGAAAAAGCTATAAGGACAAGTAACTTGCCTAACGTAATCCTTTAATATTTTGGTTTTTAGTGTCAATTTATACAAAGGTTCTTGTATGCTTCTCACAGAACATATTCAATCCCAATGCTGTCTAGTTTGCAATTTCCCTTTGGCCTTCTTCTTCCTTCAGAACAGTACATATGGGAAACCCCTAATTAATTTCGCCCTTCTCTTACTTCTTAGTCACACACACACACACACACACACACACACACACACACACACACACTTTGTAGTATACCAAATATGACATGTGTGAACAGAAAGTTTCAGAACCCTCAGTTATTCCTGAAACTCTTTTAACTGAACTTTTACCTGCCCCCCACTTTGCTTCCTAGAGAACTATCACCATCACTCACCATTTTAAGCTTCCAAGAAGAATCTGACCATACCAGCCAGTTGAGCTTTGATGTGGCTAATCAATTCACTTGGAAGTTTTTGAAACTAGATTCTCACACTCCATTACTAAAACTACTCAGGAAGAGTACCTGGTCATGGGGGTCTGGAAATTAAGTGCCCACAATGAGCTTGAGGTACAACCAGATTTGGGAGTAAAAACTCAACTATTTCAGTCTAAAGAAGGATAAATTCATTTCTCCTTGTTTCCTCCAAAATAACAGAGGAATACAAAAAAACAATATAAAACCACAGAAATAGACAAATTTTCTACAGACTCCTTAAACTTCATTCTTCTAAAATACACATAATGCTCAATAGGACACGTTTATTTATTATATACATAAGTAATATGTGACATCTGAGAAAATGCTAATTACATAAAACATCATAGGTTAAAAATACACACTATTTGTATTTTATTGCAATAATAGGGTCCCAGATTCAAACAAGGAAGTTTGATTTCAAGTTTGCACTATATAAGTTATTTGCTCTGCTACAAAGAACTATAATGGAGGTACATTTTGGCAGTATTATTTCTCAAGAGTCAAATATCAATGAATTTCATATACATGGTTTTGCATCTGTAGAGGAAGATACAATTTCTTCAGTACATGTACCAATTTCCGAGTCTTCCACTTCAGAATCCTCACCAGCTTCTTCGGAATCAAATTCCTGACTATCCGGTGATTCCAAGTTATCCAGAGGTTCACCTTTCAGTCTCTTTTAAATAAACCAATAATTTATTGTAAAAACTTTAAAACCCAAGTCCATTATCAGTATGCTAATATAATTGATCCTCGATGTTGTAATGAGGTACTTTTCATGTCTCTCAACTAAATTCACTTACCAACAATCAAGTGTTGTCAAGTCTCCACCATGCTAGATCATATCTAAGTAAAGTCATTGGGCTTTATAATTTGATCTTTTTTTTAAAGCGCTGACATGCTTTCAGAGTACAAATGAAATCAGTACTTCTCAAGCTATCTGCAGTGAAGGACCAGGTTTCCTAATCTCCAATCTGCTGTGCACCAATAATTTCATGGCAGTTAAGACAGCTATTGGGTTGTCGGAAAAGTCGTGACGCATTTTTGCAACAAAAAACATAGAAAAAATACGTGATGACTTTTCCGACAACCCAATATTGTAGTACATACTTCCAAATGAAAACCTCAAACATTAATTCTGTCACAGCTCTAAAATGTAAGCAATTCAATGAGAAAAGTTTTGATTTGAAAATTTTTCATCCCATCTGCAAGATGATTTTCTGCAAACATGAATAAGTTTAAGACCTATATTTTAGGGTAAGACTGGTAAAGTAACAGTCATCAGGCTAATTCTTACAAACACATCAGCTACTTCTAAATTTAAAAAGTCAGATTAAGACCACCAAACTTATTTAGTGTACCAATTAAGTTTTATAAATAACAGTATAGTCACACTGGCATTAAAGTTAAATTAAAAACTGGTTAAAAATTTGTCAGCTGAAATATAATATTCCACATATTCTTCAGATACAATTCTTTTATCTCTACAAGAAAACAGATTTTAATATCATTATTAATAAATAGTATCTAAAAGTTATTGGGCTCTTACTATTTATGTGGGCATGTCTCTTAACAGCCATCTATTATAACTCATATTTTTCATAACAAACCTACAAAGTAGGTTCTATTACTCTCATTTTATAGATGAGGAAAATGAAGCCCTGACAGGATAAATAACCTGCTTGACTCACAAACTTAACAGTGCCAGGCAGGAAGCTAAGACTCAAAGTCAGGAAATCTGATTCCAGAGCCCAAACACTTACTGATCACACTTACTGCCTCACTATTATAGAAAAATAGATGATTCTGAATCAGATGAATGTTAAATACATACCTCTATGACCTCTGCCATATACTGTACATGTTCTGCTACTTCTGCCAACTCTTTATTCTCCTTTTTTAGGCGGGCAATTTCACTGTCCTTTTGTTCAATTTCTTTATGAAGCTATACAACATAAATAAAGTTCAGTATTCCATAGATTTGCTATGCTATAAACCAAATAACATGCCTCCAAGTATATAACTGATGTTTAGTACCAAGTTCCTAACAAAGGTATTATCTTTGGCTCTCAATACAATAGGCTTCTTTTGTATAACAATTCTAGTAACAGAGTTGCCTTCCTAATAAAACTTTTCTTAGGCCAAAATTAAAAATAGTTTATAATGCTATAACCAAATATGCTAAGCAGCAGAAGGAATGTTAAAGAACTGAAATGTTAAAAAAATCACAAATTGGAGCAGCCAGATACTTCAGTTGATAAGAGCGTGAGCTCTGAACAACAGGGCTGCTGGTTCAATTCCCACATGGGCCAGTAAGCTGCACCAGTAAGCTGCGCTCTCTACAGCTAAGATTGCAAACAGCGGCTTGACGTGGAGCTAGGGGGCCATGAGTGGCAGGCGGCCGGTGTGAGCTGTCATGAGCTGCTGTGGGCTGAGTGGCTGGTGGCCAGCATGAGGAGTGGCCGGCAAGAACTGCCGTGAGCCCCCAGTCAACGGCTGGTGACCGACTGCCTCAGCCAGGTAGAGCGCAATGATCACAATACCACCATGGGCCAGTGAGCTGCATCATCCACAGCTAGACTGAGAACAACGGCTCAGAAATGATTAAAATGGTAAATTAAAAAAAAAAAATGCTACAAATTATATTCAGTACATACTTTCTCATTTTCCTTTAGTGCTTCATAGAGCGCCTTCCTCCGTTTTTCTGCGACTTCTTTCCAATATTGAGAGGATGGATTTTCTAAAATAAATTAATGATTTACATGTAACTTTAAAAAACCACTACTGTTAGAATGCTGCTGTAAAAACCCAATAATTTTTTACATTTCAATAAAATGTACAATCTTAGTACTACCTATTCTATTTACTCACTTTTAAAAGATTAAAATTAGAAACCAAATCAATTTTTTTCTATTTTATTTCCCCAATATTTTGAGGATTTCAATATATCCCACTGAAGGTCTATAGAGTCCTGTGTTCAAGTTACATGGATTAATATTTTTCATCTGTGTGGTTATGTTAACAACATGTACAGTTGTTTCTGTATTTGACTTTAGTGTTTTTTTGGCACCAATTTTTGTTCATTTTAACCAAGTCAGATATGAGTATCACAAACCCTATTGTTCATTCTACAATACTAGTAAAGACCTTTTTTATTTCCATGCAGCTAACCTTTCCTAATTTTGCCTGATAAAACGCTACCATCTACTTATCTTTTTCCTTACTGTCCTCCAGGCCAATCAAAATGAGCACAAATGACACTACGACTTTAAGTCAATGAACTTCTCTAAGTCTAAACTTTTTTGGTCAATATCCAATGATCTTTCAGAAGGCTTAAAAACCACCACTAGCTTCCTCTTTTGAGGTCCACTGCCATTCCACTAAAAACTAGTATTTATTACAGGCACAATGCTGCTCATTCATCGTGACTCCCTCTACTTCAGCAATGTTTCTATTGGCTCCCTGACTTTATAATCTCCTGGTATATTCAAATTCCTCTCTTCAAATTCGGTCTCTAGACATTTTTCTTCTGAAAAGATTATTTCCAAGTCTTGTAAACCCTTAAGGCAATCCAATATCAAAGATGCCATATTAATCACTATCCTTTTCTTCAATAGTTCATTCATATTTGGAACTTACCAAACAGTTAAGACTTGTCCAAATTTACAGTTTTTGTATATTTACAACCATAGGATAATTTAATTATCAAAAACATTAAACTATCTAATCATGTCCAGAGATTAAGAGGCTGTGGGCAAAATTCTTAACAGTATAACAAATACTATTTACCTTTATTACAATTAAAGTTTCTAAAGTGAAAGTTATATATTTTTTTTTCCCCCATACCTGTAATCATAAGATCAAATGCTTCTTGGGTAACTCCTTCAGGATTTTTATTTTCACTGTGTTCTTGGACAATAACTCCAAAGCTGGAAGTCTTAGATGTTAACTGGTCATTCCAATGTTTCATTTTGGACACGCTTTTAACCAACTATAATGGAAAAATGTACATCAATCTCATTTATGTTGATTTAATGAACTAGAAAGCTGAGTGGACTTGGAAACTAGAGCAGGCAAACAACTTCTGAAGAATGTGTGTTTAGAAGGACTGCCAGAGTAAGACATGCATCAGTAAAGTCCAGAGAAAGGAGGCAAAATTAGGAAGGAGGAAGGAGCCATTGGTTAAAGGCAGAAATTAAGGTATTAAAAGAAAAAAATAAAAGACAATATAGAAGCAAAATAAGCAGAAATTTTAAAAATATGCAATCACTGTTTAATAAATTTGTTAAGAAATAAAAGAAAGCTGAGTTGTTTTGTCATTTATGTATTAAAAATGGAGCAATCATACGTCTTTTTGACATCTTTGGATCTGAAAAAACATCACACGATTTAAAACTATCAAAATATAGTTATAGGGCAGGCCGAGTGGCACATTGGTTAAGAGCTGGCTTGGGACGCCGGAGGGTCCCGGTTCAGACCCCACATATGAGGGCCAGTGGCACTGCCCTCTACACAAGATGCTGAACAACAACTCAACCTGGAGCTGGGCTGCCGTGAGTCGCCGGCTACAGCGTAGGCTGCAGACCCTACTGCAGTGGGTTGCCATGGGCTACCGTGTGTAGCCAGCAGCCAGTGTGAGGGGCCGTCCAAAGGCTGATGGCTGATCTGCCTCGCCCGGGAAGAGCGCAATGATGGTGCCAACTTGGGCCAGTGAAGCAACATCCTCCACAACTAGACTGAAGAACAAAAGGACAGNCAACATCCTCCACAACTAGACTGAAGAACAAAAGGACAGCAACTTGTCTGTTCCCCTTCCCCCAATTCCCCAGCGCCGTTCCCATCCCCCAATTCTCCAATAGAAATCTTTAGAAAAAAAATGTAGTTATATTTTAGGAATTTCATTTGCAGCAACTATTTTGGATTAGACTTGGGTCTAAGGCTTACCTGAAATTATTTTTTTGTTTAAATAATTTAGTATAATGGAAAGGCAATATTTTACGCCTGCAAGTCTAGACACTTTCATCCATAATTTAATCATTTACACAAAGAAATAAAGAAGGAATCTAACATTTTATTCTTAAAACATCCAACAGTACTCCTGTAGGTTAATTCATAACTGATTACATCATCCCAGTTCTACTACAGGTATT